GATCTGTCCTGGTGGCAGGCGTTGGCTTTGGTGAGCTAGCAGCTGCTTGATGACTTGGAACCGGTGAGTTCATATCAAACTGATTTCTGGGCCCAAAGGTCTCCAGATGGGATGGAAGCATTTGACCACTTGTGAAGAGCACTACTTTGTTATCTGACAGCTTCACACTGATGAGATAGCGTGTGGCGTTTCAGTGCAAATCAAAGTAAGATGTTTCATCTATGACCATACACTGCTGAATCAAACCATGGACTGTTTCAGCTGCACATAGCTGATAACTGATACTATTGGTTTATGCATTCGACCCCAAGTTCCAGTGGCATTTTTCCCCTTACTCATGGTCGTTGCAGCCTTGCCACAAATCTCATTTGAGGGAGCAAGCGTTGCATAGAGTGACACACATCCAAACGTTCCAACTCATCAAATTCATTCAGCACCTTCTCTCCGATCCAGAGCAAACGGGGAGGCATGCTTGGTGATAAATCAGAACATATTTTTACAAGATACTTCACCGTTCTTTGGGTGGATTCATTCGGTGTCACTTCAAGTAGTGTTGAAGCTAGCTGCATAAGCTTCAATTTTCTATCCTGGTCAAACATTTTGAAAGGCCTGGGCACTTGAGGCACCTCGTTCAAAATATCCATGAAGGCAGCAGGCCAGACCAAGCATGGCTCCTAGCCTTGAGCGGCGAAGTACCAAGTGGCAACCAGTGGCCATGTAAACATTTGAAGACTATTTTTTGATTTTGGATACAACAAATTTGAATAGGCTTTTCAGATCACCTATCATGTCATGTTAGATCTTGAAATAGAACGCACCATATCCTGGGACAGTTGCTGATCAGCAGCAAACCGTTTGATGCAGCAGTAGACATCATGTGGGGATTCAGGCCACCGACCACGTCCAGGTCCACTGGAGACTTTGTGCATGTTTGGAGGGATGTCTGGCACAGAGTTGTCACTTGAATTCAACTGAGATGTATGCGTTTCAAACTGTCATTGCATATCACATGGACAGTGGCTGTGTGGTATGCCTCGCGATCGCATAAAAAGGAAGGAGTGAGCGCCAGTTGCATCATCTCTCAAAGCACCAGAAAAAGTAACTGGAGCTTTCTCGAACCTGAGACTCAATGGGAAGGATGTCATGGGGCAAATGGCATTGTGATTGATGGTGATTTCGATTGTGTAGCTCATTGTGAACCAACACATGGTGCAATAATATCAATGGATCTCTTTCGAGCTGTTCTTATGTAATGCAGGGTCCCTTTACCCCATTACCATAGTAAAAATATTGTATACCGTTTGTTATTGCAATCAGGACACCACTGTTTCCATGGGCGAATGGTTGTGACTTTCTCAACATGGACCATTGCAGTGCCCAACCACTCCTTGAGGTTCAGTTTGTCCATGAGATATGCCACTTTCCTGATGCGAGTAGCAGATTAACAAGTGGGACTGTGATGAATCGATAGGATAGGGGCAATCTTGTAAAGTATGAACTAGGTATATAGTCAAGATGCTGAACGATGTCATCATCATCGGCCAGGATATCAACCCATCGCATTGATCGGGCCAATAGGCCATAAATTTGGTCTTAGCTGGTTGCTCAGACCAAAAGGTACTGGTCTAAATCCTTCAAACAATAACGCCATAACCACAGGTGTATCCCTCCCCACAGGGCTGGAGTTTCTAATTTCTCAGCAAGGAACCTAAGGTAGAGTGGGTATGACCCACTCTACTCATCATGAGCCCAGTGAATTGTAGGCCTTTTTGGAGTAGCAACCATGCCATCATCTTCATGACTGTATTATTTTTGCACTCCTTCACGGTGTTGTCTACCTCATGTAGTCCGTTTGACTTTGGACATGCAAGTTCTCGGCAGACTTTCCTAGACATTTTTATTCTCACAAAAACAATTTTGGGATCAAAAACAAGCTTTCTAAATACAACGCCAAAGTTCCCAAAGAATTATCCTCTTTGGGTAGGGTTTTCCCTTGTGATCACATGCCTCTTTCATCTTGTCCAAGGCCCTGCTAAAACATTCACACACCATGGACCCATCACCACCTTGTCGCACATCCAAAACGAACATGCACAAGACGATACCATGCAACCAGCATCCCTGGAGTTTAGTTCTTGGCCGATCGTGCTTCGCTATTCGTTTTGTTAATCTTCCATGTCGAACTCTTGGAACTGCCCATTTAGTCTGATCCATTCCATCCTTGGACAATGCAACTCAAGGGGGTTGGGGGAAATAAACAAAACCACTTCAGCTTATGTTTCAGAGTCCATGATTCTTTTTGTGCAGAGAAGTTTCTGTGTTGCAAAACAATAAAGCTTCGTCATCAGATAACGGGTTGACATCCTGTGGAAGGGTCACGTAATTCTGACTTCCCAGCATATAATTGCATACTAACACTTGCACATAATATGTTGAAACCCTGATTTAGGGCTCCTGGAAATGCATCTCCAATTGCCGATCCAAAGACACAGATTCAAGGTGTTCTTTGTATTGTCGTGATATTTCATACCGATCAACGGGATCCTCGGTGAGAGAGAAACCATTTATATAACCACAGGCACATGTTAGTGTGCAGTAACATGCGACATAACTTTGGATAAAGGATCTCTAGCATCTTCGAAAGCATCCTTGTAAGCTGTACAGTCATCACAAGCTGGGAAGTTGGTAGGGGTGGCAAAACGCAAGAGGTTTCGCCACTTGGTCTTGTACCTCCGCGCAAAGTGAGCATACCTGGGCAGCAAAACCATTTTCCCGTGGTCAAAACACCTGTGTTAACTTTGATTCTTTGACCTGCTTCACTGCTGTTTCAATCTAAGTTGCGATATGCCGCCACCACATTGAACATGAAGCATCTTTAGATTTCCAGGGGGCAAATATCTTGTAGGCAAATTGGATGGATCCATCCCAAAGTTGCTTTCAACTGTCCTGGGTGTCAAATCTCATCGATATACAAAACAATCCAAATCACTGTCTAGGACCCTAGGCTATTTCTGTATCTCTCATATGACATATGGCCATCATAGCAGCCCAACAAACTTAGGCCACTACTGTGTGTAGAGCATTTTGCTCCCCATCACATGCAGTTTCAGTTCAAGGTTTGACTCAATCGGTTCCATCTCAACAACGGCCTCGTTGCCTGAAGAGTCATCTTCATCTCCTGAGTAAGTTCAAACACAAGGTATAAGAACATTTTATTGGTATACCTCAACCTTTGTTTTGTAATATACATTTCTGCATATTGCAAACCAGACTCTTGTCTCAAAATCATCATCATGTGACGTTCCTCTAAACGTCACAGAAAGTGGGGATGGAGCACAACTTTTGGTCTGTGATCTTAATCTTGCGGCCCGTTGAAACCTCACCAACAACATGTCAATGTGTGTAGATCACATGGTTAAATACAGTTGAACATTTTGAATGGCATGGAGGTATTTTGCACACAAGGAACTGTGTGGGCAGCATGCCCCCTTGCTGTATGTAGAGCTTCAAAAAAAACTGGTCAATTCGCATGTATTTCAAAGGTCTTCGTTTCTTCTCCTTGAGATCACACAGGGATTGCAACCAAAAATACAAACCACATATATCCACATATTATATATACCCAAACAACATTGTTCAAATTTGTAACATGTGATTCTTGAACCAACAGGTCACAAACAACATCAAGCCAGGTCTCGGCCCCAAAGCACCTGTAGCGAAGGTCTAATTTACCTTTTCCAGCTGTCCCCAACCTCTGTGGCCTGATGCCAATGAGAGCTGAAAGGCATCGTGCTGAGATCCTCTTGCCACAGAACTGCCAGGAACGGTTGCCCCAAACCGAGTTCTTCACCATCTCAAAGATCTTAGATCAAAACAAAGAGAAAACAGGTAACTGTTTCAAACCCATAAATACAAAGATACAAAACTGTCAGCCCATGTTGTTCTTCAAACAACTAAGTGTGAGTCATATGCATCTTGAGCTGGTTTCTCCAGGGCCCAAAAGGCAAGTAGGAACTTCATGATCTCCGTCAAGGAAGAAGCACATTTTCTGAAACACTTCAAACGATGACACTGGCAGGATGCTCTGTCCAGAAGTTTCCTCACCCGCTCTGCAGAGGTTCCATTTTCTGCATGCCTCCCACAAGCGCAGGTCACAAGCCACAACTATAGCCTAATATAACTAACCCCACATATTGTTACGATATGTCAAACAAAAGAACCTGAAAACTGAATGAAAAATGTACCTTACTTCCAGAAGTAAGCTGCGATTGTCGAACTTCAGGGTTTGCATACAACCGTCTTCTGCTGTTGTCATAGTTTGGTCTAAGACGTGCTGCTTGAGCAGGTTGTTTGTAGGCTGCAGCAATTTGACTACCACCTTTAAACTCCAAGATGCTTGCCACAGAAAAACAAACCACTGATCTCCCCAACTCACCTTCTCCTCTGGGACCCCCAGACACGAATGCTGCTCCAGCACCAAGTGAAGCAAAATAGGACCTCCTGTCCCTTGATGCCCCTGGATCTATTTGACGATTTGCATTTTGCTCCCCATTTTGACGATTTGCATTTTGCTCCCCATTGGCGAGGCTTTTCAAAAACGAACGTCGGTCAACCATTCCTTTGGAAATCTTGACCCTCTAAATGCTGCAAGAAGATGCAACATCATGCCATAATTCACCGTTTTCTTATCCTTGTCATACACTGAATCAGGATATCATTTACAATGAAATAGGCATCGATTATAATGAAATCTACTTATATACATACTTAGTATACCCATGTAACCCAAATGATCCTTATTTCAGATGATTGAACCTCAATTGTATGAGTCAAAGCCTCAGAAAAAAAGATATATGTGGATTCCAATGCATACCAAACATATAGATTTGTGATACCTCCAGGTTAGGTGCCTCAAAATCGTTTACCCGACAATCGCATAGTGTCAGATGCCCTTAAATTGATGGTGTGTTTTGGGTGGCCGAATACCCAACGACCTGCAGGTCTTTACTCCAAGGAATTCCTGGAGAATCGCATGTGCGTGGCTTTGGGCGGCCGATTGGCCGAGGAAATCATCAATGGCAAGGACAACGTGACCACAGGCCGGGACCTGGAGATGATGGTTCACCTTCACAGATTTTTGTGCTAATCTTTGCTTCAAAAAACATGGTTTTGCCTCAAAACGAGCAATTTTAAGGGGGAGATGATGATGATGATACTGATGGTGGTGGTGGTGGTGGTGGTGGTGGGGTGGTGGTGGTGGTGATGGTGATGGTGCTGGTGCTGGTGCTGGTGGTGGCGATGGCGATGGTGAGGATGATGACGGTATTGACTGATTGGTTAATTGATTGATTGATTGATTGGTTGGTTGATGGATTGATTCATTGGTTGATTAGTTTTTGTGTTGATTTGATTTTGATTTAATTTTGATGTGACGTGACATGACTGATGGAATGATTGATGTTTGATTCTTTTATGGGATCCTGGGGTTCCACATGGACGTCCCCATGTTTCCGCCACCTGAGGCGCCTCCAACGACTTTCAGCAGTGCACGCAGGTGACCGGACACCTCCATGACTAGTGATTAGTGAGTCATTGGGGCATTGGGGATGGTTTACCCTCTGGTAAATTAACATAGACCCTGGCAGTTGTCGGAGTTGGAAGATGCTCGTTTCCATGAAAAATTGGTTATTTTCAGGGTCAACAAGTTTATTTACCTGCCAGAGGGTAATGTGTTCAAAACTATTTGTGTTCAGTCTATATGGTTGGTTATTGGCAAGGGTGCAGACTGGTAATTATTGCATTTGGATTGATTCTGATGTTCATGTCCGCAGCCGATGCATTGCGCCGGCAATGTTCTCAAGCATTTGGCATTTACCTAAAAAGCTCCAGAAGGCATGGCAAGACATGGGCCACAGTGGTCGCTAGCCTTTTCTTTTTTTTTCCCCATTCTCTGCAGATCAGTGGTGCCAGTTCAATGGGAGCTGCAGCAGTTCACAGAGCATATTGCATGCCACTGCAGTTTGATTGCCGCACCACAGGAAAAAGAAAGCGTGAGCGCCTGCCTGCTTGACAGTTGAACTCAAACAATCGACAAAGCCATAATGTGTTCAGTCTATATGGTTGGTTATTGGCAAGGGTGCAGACTGGTAATTATTGCATTTGGATTGATTCTGATGTTCATGTCCGCAGCCGATGCATTGCGCCGGCAATGTTCTCCCACCGCTTTAAGTTATTTTTTTTCTGAAAGTTCCCCCCCAAACATTGCCCAATGCCAATGCGGCTGGGCTTTGGTTCATGTGTTCAAGCCATGCCATCGTGTTTTTTTTTTTTGCAATGCACAAAGTGTGCCTGACCTTGCAATTGTTGCGGTCTGTCCCTAGCACTTGGTTCAAACCCCCATGTGCTCTCGAAAGTTGTTTTTTTCCTGCTCTCAATGTTGTTCAGCATGCCACTTTTGCGGTCGCAGGAACATATATATATATATATTGAAATATTGTATTGTATATGTTTCCAAACTATCTACTTGTTCTACACGTACAACTGCAAGCTTGTCCCTATCAGGATTAGCCAGCTTTTGTGACGGGAGCCATGCCGCCCATGAAAGAAGATTTGAAGTTGCTTTTGACCCGGAATGGCGTTCACGAAGATGTAGCAAAGTGGCTTTCAGAAGCTCCCCAAGACTGTCATGAAATCAAACATTTTGCAAACATGGTCGATGACTCCTCTCAGCTGAAAACTGCCGTTCTGCAGCACACGAGCCAGAAGGACCACATTGGTCAGTTGGCTCGGCTCAAGCAAGCCTGGAAAGAGGCAGATGGCATCAACCAAACCAGGCTGAAGCGAATTAGCCAAGGTATCACAGATGAATCTTTGGATGAAGCTTTGGACTCCGAGACACGTAAGTCCAAGTGTGAGATTTTTCAGAACTTTTATCAGTGGACTCTGAAGTCCAAAGAAATGGTTTGCGACACGTTGCTTGGCCGTATTGTCCGCGAGTTTGATGCGGGGCAGCCTTCCATGTTTTCAGTTCTTCGGACCAGAAGTTTAGCCACTTCTCAGCGTTCCCAGTCAGTCAAAAAGCACCGAGTCACCGAATCCTTGCATATCAACGTTGCTCAGGCAGATGATGATGTTATGGCTTTGGAGGATTCAGGAAGGCTGCGAACATACTTTTCTTGTTTTCGCATTCTAGGTCTGGGCTGGGCTGTTGCTGGTTGCTTTGATGTCTCATTTGGAGGCAAGCAGGTTAAGTTTTGTCACTGGCAGCAAGTCACCTATATCAGCAATCTGGAAGAAAAGGCTTGGTCTGCCTTGAGCAAAGCGCCAGAAGATGTGGTCCTCACCTACATTCTGGAAACAGAGGAAAAAATCCGAGCCACAGCTATTGAACGTTGCCGTGCCGATTCCATGCCTTGGGGGCAGGCCTTGCTTCATGCATGGAAAGAAGAGGTGGAGCTGTGGAGTGATGCGCGGGACAAGTTGATGGCAAACAAAGGCAGCCTGAAACACGATGTAGCCAAAAGTGTACCTTCAAGTGCGATCAAGGTCAAGCCCGCCACTGCCAATCATCTGTCTTCTGGCGTTGAAATTTGCAAGCGATGGAACGATGCTCGAACTTGCAACAAGGGCCGTTGCCCCAAAGGAAAAGCTCATGTGTGCGATGTGCTTTTGCAATCAGGTGCAGTTTGCGGATCCTCCCACCACTGCCGCAATGAGCATGACCCTGGTGTGCATGGCCAGGTCACGCCTTTCCCAAAAGCTTGACTTGAAGAGTCGGCCTCGCCATTTGTCCCCACTGGCCAGGCCGAAGACTCACAGCATTGGGGTATCCATGATGATATTGTTTTGATCGAACTGTCAGGCGGCACTTTGCCTTTTGCCACTTGCCTTGTGAAAAGGGGCAAGCCACGCCTCGCAAGCCTTTATTTTTGTGCCGAACATGCAGATGATTGCTTCGTTGCTTCAACTAATTTCCCTTTTGGACAGCATCTAGGTTCAATCCAAAATTTATGCCCCCAAACTCTTCAGCACATCCTGGTGCGCCACCCACAGCAGATTTTCTTGGTTGCTGGTGCTTGGCCTGAAATCTCTGGCAGTCTATATTCCCAAGTTTGGCGCATCATGGACGCTGTTCTCCGCCGTGAACAGAAAACAGTGTGGACATTAGGCGGGTTTTCTGCTTCAAATGCAAAATGTTTTCATAAGAATTTCGGATTAGGGACAATGTTTGGTTTGAATAGCGCCCAAGCATGCGCAACAGCTTGCCAGTCTTGGTGGTGTACAAGTTTTCAACCCTATTGGCCTGTCAAACTTATGTGCTTTGACTACTGCGTGGTGCCAATATGGGCGCATGTGCCGGCATCACGCCTTTTGACAAGTGGCTGGCAGTTCATGGTCGGTTTTCAGGGGGACAGTTTGGCTTGGGGAGAGGTTCCAGATGTACAGGTACAGTGTACACGCACTGGTCACTGTCGCCAGCTGATTGCACAAGAAGTGGAAAAACTATTCGGGTATGATGAGGCCCACACAGCTCCCCTGTTGCAGGAAGGCGCCCCGGGTGACTGTAAAGACCGTGGTAGCGTGGAAGCCAGACGATTGCGTGCTTTGCGCCGAGCATGGCCAGTATGTTTCGTTGATCTTGTGCTACAGCCAGCAGCTAGCCATGCCGAAGCTGAATTTGGATCTCCTGCTTTGAATAATGTTGACTTGTCCACCTTGCCAGACTTGACCGTGCTGCTTGAATCCTACCTTGCTTGCCCATATTTGTGTGACAGAAAAGTGCGGGGCCAGTCTTGCCAGCAGGTTGGGCCAGACTGGGCGGACATGCACGCCTTCCAGGTCGCAAAGCCAGCTGGTGGCATTCAACACAAAAGCGAAGGTTTTGCAGTTAGCCAAGAAAGACTCATACCTTTCGGTCTGCCACCTGTCTTGCATGCCTCGATGAGTGAAGCACTTCAGTCGCCACTGCAACTTCCTGTGGCCCTAGCAGATGATTTAGATTTTGCGGTGCGGACAGTTGTTCAGCAAGGTGCTTCCATTCGTGCATGGCGCCAGAGCCAGTGGCGGCACTTGTGTTCATTGTTCAAGCAAGCGCAGGCTTTGCAGGAGCACTTCGGCTTGAAACGCTCCGCTTCTTCTCGGCGCACCAGCGCTCATTTGTGCCCAGCAAACCTTGAGGTTGCACGTGCTAGCATCGCTTGGCCTGATCGTGATGCTGCTCTAGCTTTATGTGAAGGTGTCCAAATAGTGGGTGACTTGCCCAGCTTTGGTATTTATCGCAGCACCCATCCTGGCAGCGCCGCGTCCACAAGCTGTTTTTGCCCCAAAGCAAATCAACTCTGGCTGGAGGAAGTGCTGAGCAGACGCCCGCCGCGTCCAGATGAAGCAAAGGTGGTTTGGGAAAAGTCTGAAGGCGAGCGTGCCCTTGGAATTTTGGAGGGTTGGTTTAGCCCGGAAGACCTGCACCAGCGTTTTGGCACTTACCAGTGGCGTCCAATGATGCGGTTTGCCACCTGGCAAGAAAATCACCAGGCGTATCGGTGCATTGACAACGCCAAGTCAAGTGAGCATAACCTGTGCACTAGTGTTGAAGAGCGAATCCACACAACTTCTGTTGATATGGGATTAGCTATTTGCCAGCGTTTTCGCCATTTGTGCAGTTGCCCATTGGAGCACGATTTCTCTTTGCAGGCTTCCACGAAAGATATGAAGCGTGCCTACAGACAGGTTCCAGTTAGCCAACAGCAGTTGTGCTTTTCAGTGATTGCAGTGTGGCACCCTTCGCACAGGCGATGGGTGTTCGGAATTCTGCATGGGCTCGCCTTCGGTCTGCTGTCCGCTGTCCTGCAATTCAACAGGTATCCTGCACTTCTTGTGGCTATAGCCACACGTTGGCTTGCAATTCCAGTGATAAACTTCTTTGATGATTTCAAGATAACGGAGCCACGTTTTGCCAAAGGTTCTGGTGCGCTATATTTTGACAAATTGATGGAGAAACTGGGGTGGCTGTTTGATGCCGAAAAAGACAAACCCTTCACATCGAATGTTGTTTTCTTAGGTGGCCAGGAGCTATATTTTCCAGATTTTGTGAAACTGCAACCTTTGCTTGAAAGGGAGGAGCAAATACGACACACCCTTGCACAGTCCATTGCAAGCCGGAAGCTGAGCCCCAAAGACGCCCGGCGTTTAAGCGGGAAACTTACACATTTGGCATCCTTTTATTTAGGGCGAATCGGGAGAGGCCAAACGCATTCCATAGTGGAACATGGCCTTGGCTCTGCGGAAGAAGTTTCAAATAATTTGCTTTTGTGTTTACAATTCCACCTCGCATTGCTAGATTTGAAGCCTTATAGACATGTGTCATTGGTGCCAGACCAAATGCCTAGACGCACAATTTACACTGATGCGTCCTGTGAACCCAGACCACCGCTTGTTCGCCCAGTTGTCCAAGTGTGTTGGATAGTGCTCGACATGGCTTGCAATATTGCACTTGGGGGCTTCACAGTTGTCCCCGATGCAGTCTTGCGTTCCTTTGAAGAAAGGCACACTTACATAGCGCAAGGAGAAGCCTTTGGCCCATTGCTCGCAGTTCACTTTCATTGTGATGTTTTGACATGTGCACATTTGATATTTTTCATTGACAACTTAGGCACCTTATCGGCGATGATCACTGGAAGAGCACGTATTGCTGATTTTGGTGCTGTAGTTCATGCATTTCATTTGAGCGTTGCCCGGTTGCGATCGACCTCTTGGTTTGAACATGTTGAATCTCCAGCCAACCCTGCAGACGGGGGTTCGCGAGTGGGAGCTGCTTGCCCAATTGCTCGCCAACTTGGCATCCAGTTGCATGAACGCTCATTTCCAAACTGGCCCAAAAATGTAATGAGTGCTGACCCATCCATTTGGCTATCCTATCTTTTTTCTAAATGAGAAGCCATCTCGATGTTCGCTCTCTGAGATCTCGATTGCTTTGTTTCGAGACGGCTTCAGCTGAAGCTGCAGCAGTTCACAGAGCATATTGCATGCCACTGCAGTTTGATTGCCGCACCACAGGAAAAAGAAAGCGTGAGCGCCTGCCTGCTTGACAGTTGAACTCAAACAATCGACGAAGCCATAATTTAGATGTTATTTTTATGTTTCTCGATGTTTGCCTCCGCGATTCCAGGGCCAGATGCGGCCAGTTTGGGGCTTTACCCGTCAATGTTCGGTGCTTCAGCCCTATCAGACACCACTGGACATGCTGGATGCGTGTAGTCCCGTTCAACTGTGGTGAAACATGGTGGAACCTTAAGAAATTGTTTGTCGATTTTGTAGGATGCTCTCTTGGCCCAGCAAACTTTTACATATCATGTCCAGTCGATTCACTGGTGACCCAAAGGATGGTCCCGTGACAGGTACGGCCAGATGTTTTCACGGGGGTTTAACTACCCAACTACCTGGTAAACTATGAAGTTACCCTTCAGTAATCAAACATGGTTTGCCGGAAAATCCCCCATTTAGTTCGATGTCGTTCGAATTCCAAACTATAAACCTCCGTTTGAAATTTTAGTTCGGGTATTTCCCAACCATGATGACACCTAGTCGGCTAGTCCAACTTTTGATGTTTGCTTGGTTGTATATCCCATTCTATCTTAAATCCAATGAATATCCGCAGTAACGAGCAGATCGGGGCCAGGGGCCGACCCTGGCCAGGTGGCCAAGCAGATGGTGATGACCTTGGGGATGTCCCCAGAGATTGGTCAACGCTTGCTGGGTGGACAGCAGGGTGGTGGCCCCTTCATGGGTCGCGACTTACCTGGCGATTTCCGCGATTTCTCTGAAGATTTCGGGGAAAAAAACTTGAATTTCCATGAATTTCCCATAACTGGGGCCGCAAAATCCCCAACATGAGCATTTGAGAAGAATTTCAGGCCATAATCTCAGGCCATGTAGTCAACATTCTCAGGGTTTCCTTGGTCAACTCCAAAACAGATCCATTTCGAATGGGGAAACCAATGCCCAACCATTTGTGGATCATATTACAGCATCCTAAGCAGCCCAGTAAGCCTCTATTGGGGATAGCTTACAGTATATTACAGTTGTCCCATAAACATCGATGATCATCCCAGAAAAAAACTACTATTCATATTACATATTATTACATCATATTACCATGTCCCATAAATATGCCATAAATATGCCATAAATATGCCATAAATATGCCATAAATATGCCATAAATATGCCATAAATATGCCATAAATATGCCATAAATATGCCATAAATATCCCATACCCTCGGCGATGGTTTATGGCATCTGAGGTGACTTCATGGGTCAAGGAGCTCCACCCATCTCCCAGGCGAAGCACTACGTTTACTGAGTCCACTGGGGGATTCAAGTTACAGATATGTACAGTATATACATACACAATCATTTATAGTATATAATAAGATATACAGTATAATAACATATATAATTATATATATACACACATATATATGTAATGTTATATATATATATATCATGTATATATATATAATTATACATAATTATATATTTGATTATATATATATTTATTTCTTTATTTTTTAAACATATAATTATATATGTGTATATAATTATATATGTGTATATAATTATATATATATAACTATATATAATATAGGCACAACAAGATGTGTATATTGATCTATATATAGTATATTATATTATACATATGGCTATGGGCCAGTCAAGATTTGAGACCCGGGGAACCACACATTATGACACTGTTTACTCTCAGGAACTGTAGTATGACCATCCAAATTATAAGAAGGCACCCAGGTCTGACCCATAAGAGGAGATTATATGAGCCTCCAAAATATTCCAATTTTTTTTTTTCATTCGAGACCATCTACACAAACTCCGACGTTCTGTGTGTGTGTTTCACAACAGCACCAGGCCTTGAAACAGAAGGTGGATGACGAGGTGAAGCGCATCGTTGATGAGCAGTACCAGCGGGGCATGAAGCTCCTGCGCGTGACTTGGATGGCTGATTTGGATGTGATTTCCTGCCTCCCCAATTTGATTTTAGCCGACAGAGACGTTGGATTGGAAAGATAAGTGCTGATCAACCTAAAGAAATCTTGGTTCATGCATCTTCACCGGCCCTTTTCAAGTTTCCATGCGAAGTAGTAGTTGCAAACTGCTACCAAACCCCTGGCTGTGATCCATTCCCATGTTGGTTTGTCCCAAAAGTATTTTTTTCCTTGTTGAAATTGCCACTTTACTAGGGAACATGAGGTTTTACTCCCTTGGATTTTGGGGGGTAGTCCATTTTCAGAGAAAACCATCCTCTTGTGATGGTTACAATAAATCCACCTTGTGAAGCGTCGGTTGAATTCACATTGTTGATCATTTTCGTTCCATTTTTCACGGCTTATTTTCCCCATGCACAAATTTTCGTTGCTGAACTTTGCAACGTTTTTGTTGGTGCATTCCCCATAATTTTTTTCCCCGCCACGGAAAGATCCATGCCGAACTCTCCCAACTTGGAGGACAACATGTTCCTGCTGGACGAGTTAGCCAAAATGTTGATGGAAGAGGAGAAGGTCTCAGGTGCCTGCGGTCTGCTCTGAGGATATGTTTCAGTTGGTGGATTTTAGAATGATTCACGAAGAACTGGGGATTTCAGATGATTTCACCAACAAAGATGGGGATCTAACATGATTTAACCGAGTAAAAATGGTGATGTATGTGATTTGAAATAGGTTTCTCTTGGATGGGCTAACGATTGGCTTGGGCTTGTAGATATACATAAATAGGAACCACCACCTTGAATATAGGATGGGTTTTTGGCTGATGTTGGGTTTTCCAGCCGATGTGGATCGATTTGGACAAAAATTGACGGTTCACATGGGAGGCGATGTTCGGCAGCGCCTTGCCATCGTTGATATAACGAAACAAATGTCGCCGCGAAAGCAAACACGGTGCACGTGGAAAGAACCGCGCAAGCCGTCGCACAAGCTTAAATTATGAGGATTAGAACCACTTTGCTACCCCGTTTTCGACGCCGCTCATGTTGCGACTTGCTCAAAACCTCGTTTGGCGGTGACATTCCAATTTCTGGAAAATAATATATCCCATAGGATCCATGGTGCTGGTATATATGCTAACATTTGGGGTATATTGATGGGATCCATGTTACATCATGTTACCATATATATAGCAGCACCATGGATCCGTCATGGGTATGTTTGTTAATTTCTTGTTATTCAGCCTATTTCAGCGTTGCAAGTCCTGCCTGTTCTCCCAAGTCCTGCCCAAGTAGGCCTACTTGGCGTGGGGTGATACGGGGAAAACCGGTCCGACAGTTGGGACCCACCTTTGAGCAAGGGGGAATGTGCATGCGTGTGGAAGCTTGTTTTTTTTTTTTAAATACTATATTTTGTAGTGACATTCTCCTTGACATGAAACCAGCCTTGATTTTTCCAGCTTTGGCGGAGGCGCACACTTTTGTGACACCTGGGCCGTCCCACAATTTATGTGTTCCACTCCGCCATGCTGCAGGTGAACAGTTGATCAAGCTGATCAACAAGGCAGCTGCTGAAGGCGACGTGGTCGCAAACAACTGGGGATTTAAGATGACTTATCCAACAGAAATGGAGATTTGATGAGATTTGATCCACCAAACTGGTGAGTGTAAGCCACCACCAATTTAAGAGATGATGGGTGAACATCAAGGTGAAGTATCCTGCTTCAGAGATCAAACAGATTAGTCAAAGGAAGCTTAGTTAGAAAACTTCCGAGTTACGGACGATTGTCATGGGCAGCATTCTCACCATCATGTCAACCACATCATCATGTAAACCACGTCATCATCAAGTAGTTGGGAAGCGTAGCAGGTCGGGAACACGTGAATTCAGGCTTGAAAACACTCTCGGGCGCGAAACCCTTTGTTTTTTAGGGTAAAGTGGCTTCCGTTCGCCGAAGTAGGGTCTCTGTTTCCGCGGGTGCGGGCCTCGATCTGCAAAAGTTGTCGACAAAAAGCGCACAGGACAGTAGCGAGAGCTCGATTTGCAGGCATTTGGAGCACTTTTGGAAGAGGGGTTGGGAAAATGTGGGCGAGACTGTAGTGAGAGCTTGATTTCACATAAAAATCGTAAAACGTTGAGGCCTTCGGAGCACTTTTGGAAGATGGGGGCGGAAAAATGTGCACGAGACTGTACTGTACTGGTAGCAAGAGGTCGGTTTCACATAAAAATCGTAAAACATTGAAGCGTTTGGGGCACTTTTGGAAGATGGGGTCTGCAAAATGTGCACGAGACTGTAGCGGGAGCTCGATTTCACATAAAAGTCGTAAAAAACTGAGGCGCTCGGAGCACTTTAAAAGATGGGGCTGGCAAAATGTGCACGCGACTGAAGCGAGAGCTCGAGTCTCAGCGCACTTTTGGAAGATGAGGTCGGCACATTTCATTTTCATTTTCTTTTTCATTCCATTATCAATCCATTTCAATCTATTTCATTTCATTTGATTTATTTTCGTTCTTTTATTTATACATCATTCATTCCTTAAGATTTATTCATTCATTCCTTCATTCATACATTCATCCCTTCATTCATTCATTCATACATTCATCCCTTCATTCATTCGTTCGTTCGTTCATTCATTCATTCATTCATTCATTTGTTCGTTCGTTCGTTCATTCATTCGTTCAATCATTCATTCGTTCAATCATTCATTCATTCATTCGTTCGTTCATTCATTCATTCATTCATGCGTTCGTTCGTTCATTCATTCATTTCATAAATTCATTCATTCATTCATTCGTTCATTCATTCGTTCATTCATTCGTTCATTCATTCATTCATTCGTTCATTCGTTCATTCATTCCTTCATTCATTGATTCTTTCATTCATTCACTCACTCACCCAGTCATTCATGCAATTCAATTCATTTCAGTTCAATTCAACTCAGTCTCAATCATTCATCCTTTTTCTTCAATGCATTCATTTCAATTCACCTTTTCCAGCCCACCAACAACAGCAAACTGGTTCCTATGTTCATGTCCTATTTTCGAAACTTCCGCCCCGGCGCGTGCCGGACACTACCTGGTAGCCGGTAGTTACGGATGAAAGCCTGACACCATTCACATGGGGAAATGATAGGTTTCTCGACCATTTCCCGATCGGTTTCAGGCAAGTTGGTCATGAGCAATGCCAAGATGGCGGTTGCTGCCTATGCGGGCGAGAAGGCGGGGGCTTACTATTATCATTATGATTTTGTTTGAAGTGTTGTCATTATTGTGATTGTTATTGTCATTGTTATTATTTCTTTGTTATCGTTATTGTTGTTATTCGGCCAACATTTGTACTTGTGCTATGACCCAACGTCTTCCGGGATGATTGTCGGGAAGCTCATTTTTGGTGACCATTACAGTACATGGCCTTCCACTATGTTGTGATATGTTGGGATGTTATAACTTGATGTCTCTGGGTCCGCAAACCCAGAGAAGTAGTTGATGACCCTGTGCAGGGATTCGGCCGTCTCCCAAGATTGGTTTTCGGCACTTTTTACATAAAGTCTTTGTATATAAAAACCATAGAACAACCTGAGAAAAGCCTAAATTAACCCTAAAAAAACTCTAAAATGAAACCCAAAGAAACCCTTAAACAATCCCTATGGAAGCGTGTATATGTAAGTACCTGTCGGGCTCACACAGTGAAACCGCACGTGCAGGTCGAGACCACCGCGGATGGCACTCTCAATGCCAAGACCAAGTGCCTGTGCCACGGCACCCAACATGTATTTTTCGCTATATTTGATCATCCAAAAAAACGTGGTCAACGCAGAATTTGAGTAATATAATCTACAAATCATGTACCCAAAGAGTCCACAGATGATCCACAAATCATTTACGAATGATCCACAATTGCAAAGCATCCACAAAGCATCTTTGCATCATCCATACATCATCCATACATCATTCAAAAACCATCCATAAATCATCAAATTACAAAGTATCCAGAAATTGCCAGGAAATCAGTTCTTCAACTCATCTTCCAACTCCAAGGCACCCCGACAAGCCCATGATGTTTGCCTGTGCGGATTGCCCTCGCCGCGGTTTCTGCGGTTCCAGCGACGTCAGCCGCGGCCGCCGTGGCGTCTCCAGGGGTGCTGTGGCGCGGCTGGGGCTCTCCCATGAGGCATCGGAGCGCGAGGTGCCGTGCACCAGCGAGGAAGTCTTGCGAAGGGTGGAGGTGCCGCCTGGGATGGAGGGGGTGGCCAGAACAAGACCTGAAAAAGTAGAGGATTTGGATAGCATCAGAGATGGGGAGGTGATCTCAACATCATGGGGATTTAAGCATCAGGGATAGGGAGTTGATGGGAGTTTGAGTTGAAAGGGTGAGTTTGACTAAGAGAACGGCGGGATTATTTTCATGAACAAGAATGGAACCGGGGATCTGGGCCAACAGAGATTGGGATTTGAATCAGCCAATAAGGTTATGTGTCACAAATTGGCCACTTTAATTTGGAGCAAACTAGTAACGCATCTTTTTTTTGGGTATAACTTCGATCCGTATGTGCTTATCCCGTATTCCCATTCTTATTGTTACTATTACTGACTATTGCCACTGCTGTGGCTACTGCTGTTACTAATGCTACTGCTTGCATTACTTACTATTGCCATTACCATTATTGTTAATCTTATATTCTTATATATCACTATTGTGTTTTTCCATTTTGTTCTTCATGTTTACTGTTGGAGAATCATCATGTCACCACCACCACCACCACCATCATCATCATCATCATCATCATCATCGTCATCGTCATCATCATCGTCATCGTCATCGTCATCGTCATCATCATCATCATCATCATCATCATTTTCATCATCATCATCATCATCATCCTCATCCTCATCCTCATCCTCATCATCATCCTCATCATCATCCTCATCATCATCATCATCGTCATCATCATCATCACCATCATCATCATCAGCATTATCGTCATCATCATCATCAGCATCATCGTCATCATCATCATCAGCATCATCGTCATCGTCATCCTCCTCGTCATCATCATCATCATCATCATCATCGTCATCGTCATCATCATCGTCATCGTCATCAACATCATCATCATCATCATCATCCTCATCATCCTCCTCGTCATCATCATCATCATCATCATCATCATCACTGATCATTATAATTTGGGGGTGTGTTATTTTCAAGTTACAGCATCATTGGATGCATCCAATAATCCCTTCCCCCTATTACTAAACGTCCCCCAAATACTGAAAACATCTAAAAACTAGGGTCCATCTCTAATTTCGGAAAATTTCAGATTGGCCAATTTGAGTTTTAATTGATCCCCTTTAGAAAACAATTTAAAAATAAAGCTACCATTTGTGGGTTTTGCCCCCTAAGAATAAAAACTAGTTCACCCCGGGGGCGTTTAGTATTAGGGGGAAGGGATTACTCATCAAACTTGTACGACTTAGATCTACCGTGAATGGTTCCAGGATATGGCGGCTGATGCCTCTAACGGCAGCGCTTTGCCACAGAAGGTGATTCTGTCGGCAGCTTCGCAGGTGCCCGAGGGCTTGAACTTGGTCGCTTTCCCAGGTTTTTGATGTCTGAAATTTGATCTTGCGATAGTTTGACAATAGAGTAGCCCAAACTCTAGTGTCTTATAATGTTGCCAGTAGGTGAGCCAAGGCCAGTGTTTGCAGGATTGGCTAAGTGGTTGACCGAAGAATCCATGGGGCTGTTCCAAAGATGTGTGAATGAGGGATGAAACACCGTTATTCCGAGAATTGCTGGGCAATTCTGCGGGACATCCTTTGATTTGACAGTCAAAGCCGTGATCTCCTGCCATTGTGAGTTTGTCCTTGAATCATCTTGAATCAATCTACTTATTTGATTGAATCCCAATCCCTATTTTTGATGCTTGAATCATCTTGAATCATCTTAAATCCCAAAATTGGATAATTCAATCAAATTCAATCCCAATTTTCTTCCCAATTTTGGATCATTGAACCCACACTTGGCATAGTCTTGTTGGTGAAGTTCCATGAAATCCCAATTGGTTCTCCGTGAAGTCCCTACGACATCATCGGAAGACCAGGCTCTGGTTGCGCTGGCGGCCATGGCTGGTCCGCTTCCAGCGCAGGTCTAAACACGACTGGATGTGGGTCAAAATGGAAGACCGTTAAGGGGACCACAGATGTGAATTAGTCTAGTTTAGTATTAACCATCCATAATTTTGGGGTACCTAATTTTGACCCATCCCCATATGTTTGGATATGTTTGGATGTACTTAAGTTTTCAATTGGTATATGGAGAAGGAAAACAGTGGGATATAGAGGGATATAGAGGGCTATAGTGGGAATAGAGATTTGGTGGCATTTCACGGGATTTAAGGGGACGGGGATAAGTGGGGAGAAGGATATATGATATAATATAATGATGTATATAACCAACCATAATGGGGGTGTCTGAAAATGGGCTGTGCCAATTTTTATGGCTGTTGAAATAGGGAAACTGCGGAAACTGATCAATGAGTGAATGTTTGGGGCACCACATTTTCACACACACCCATATAATCGTATATAGTTTATTAATGTTTATTATTTATTATTGTATAATTTCGGATCTCCCCCTAGCTGCAACAGTTCGGACTTCTTGTTTTTTTTACTAAACAGATCAATGAATCAATGAAAATGAGCACCAGAAACTCAAATCATTTTGCAACACGCGTTTTATTGTGTCTGATGTCACCAATCATCATATTATTGCTGTTTATGCAGTTACACTAAATATTTCCCATGACATTCCCATTATATACCGTCTGGTAAACTAACACAACTATGGAACATCACCTTTTTTTATGGGAAAAACAACTATTTCTATGGCCATGGCTTCAATAGCTATGTTACTCATTACCAGAGGGTATATCATTATATATCCCATTAAATCCCATTAAATGCTATTGAATCACCATTGAATCCCATTAAAACACCATTAATGGATAATCACCATTAATGCTATTAAATCCCCATTTCACCATGGACATCATCACATCGTCAACGTTGACGAAAAAAATCGCCATGTCGCACCGGCGAGGCCGATGATGTGCCGCCGTTGCAATCCATGGGTGCCCCGGCACAACAGATGCAGCAGCAGCCAGGCACCCTGCGCGTGAGTGGTCTCTCGGATCCACAGGTTGCCATGGAAAAGGGGCCTGAGGGAAATCATGAAGGAATTGCTGATGTTTCTTGGCGGTTTTTTGACTATGTGGCTATGTTAAATTGCCAGAGGGTATGTATGTTTAGACATATATATATATGCTGTGTATATACAATATATAGACACAGCTGTTGTCTATCGGATGATATTGGATGATATGGTTGGTAGTTGTTAGTATTCTGTATCCGCGTTCATGACGGGTAAATGTCCTATGTTGATTGGTTTAATGTCCGGTAAAACGGACTGTAATTTGCTATCTCCAGTCCATGGGTAAAACATGGTAAAACCAGCAATGGTATACCCAGCATTACTTTTGCTCATCATCTCATCTCATTCTTAGCAGCTTGGAAACGAGCAAACAATCAGATGCTGGTTGCCCAACCGACCATTGCCGAATTGTTTATGCAGGCAAACAATCAGATTCTGGTTTATTCGAACAACATGTTTTGATTTTATTCGTGTTGTTTTCTGGGAGTCTTCACTAGCAGGGTGAAACTACTCCAATACCGTGTATATATATATATATATATCCCAGTATTGAAGATCATACTTGTATCAAATTGCATTTCTGCGGCTATATCGACACTATCAACTGGTTTATACTATGAGTTCATATGAGCTCTATATCCCATGCTTTGATACCCCCAAACCATGGGTGACTCCCCCGACCAACATGTTCAGACCCAGGCCGTGTGACCTACTCTCGCTTGCTGGAGTTTGTGGATGAGGCGACCGGCGGAGTTGATGAAGCAACGGATCGGTAATTGTTTTTTTTTGTGAAAGAATGAAACCTACTTTGCTTTTATATATAGATATTATAGATAGAATATATATATATACACACACTATATATGTATATACACTATAGTTTAGAGTTATATATAATATCAACGGAACTGTTTTTGGAGTCTTCTTTTTGCACTGGTGAAATTATGGCAAAACCGCACTGGGTTCTGCAAGCATCCCTTCCTGTGACCTCTCCACGTTTGTCCCGGGTCTTACCAAACAACCTGCGAGATCCTGGGAGGTGCATCAAATAGCCATGAGGGATACCGAAGGTGTATTAAAACCGCAGTTTTTCGGCGATGTGAAATGTGCCTTTGCTCCATGAATATAACATGGTGTATGTATTTGCAAACAGGATAGAGCCTCACATCTTTGCAAGCTGATGGTTCCTCCACTCGTTCTCCAGCTTTGAAGTGCGTCCCAGACAGTGAGTGTTTGTAAGTGTCTAGATTCATTTGGGTTGGTCTGAAAATGATCCCCAACATGTCAATGTTAGGAACAAATGAGGATAGATCATGACACTTGTGGTCTCGCCTTTCTCACCCTTCAGATTTTCCCTTCAGATAATACTATATCCCATATTTTGAGGTATAGTCCTTCAACCAGGCTACAATATCATATGTTCGTACAGCAATAACAAACCATCCATATTTTGCTTCATACCCAAAAAAAACGAAGTCATTGGGGATGGTGTTTCCTATTGCTTTACTGGGCGTCCACCACGCAGCCAGCTGGGCGACCCCTCCATCTCCGACGTCAGCCCAGGGCTCGGTGAAGCGAGTGGACTTCTACGACCAGGGTCGCACGGCAGTGGCGCTGGTGATGATCGCGGGACGTGAACAGCAGTTGGTCTGCGACCTGCCAGGACGAAGCGGTGAAACACCGCTTTTTTTGGAAACCATAAAGCCCAAGGGATTTCACTAAGAAAAATGGTGAGTTTTAGTTTGAGGTTTCCTAAATTGGGGGTACCCCCAAATCATTCAAGTCATGGATGACCATGACTTAGTATTGAAACCCTTAGTTTTGAGGATGCCCCATTTGAAGAAACTTCCAAATTGTGATTTTGAGTTTTTGAATGTTGCTGATAATAGTCGTTTTTAAGTGGGAAACCGTGGGAAACCATTAGTATAACATGGTAGGGCATGGGGATGTGTGGGGATGTGTCACCATTATATAATAATCAGCAATAGTGTTGGTGACCCAGGTCATTGGCTAAGGAGGTAAACATAACTCCAATAACTGTAGGGTTTACAGTACGTACACATATCTAATACAGTTAATGGATGTTCTCAAGCAACAAACATACCCGTAGGACCGTAGGATATGGTGGATTTGTGGTATGGACAAGAGGATTTCTTGTGGCAAATTGTTTGAGTATACATATATACATATATATATGTATATATATAATTATGTATACACGTATATAATATACTCCTGTACCAATACGGAAGATTCCTAAGTCATGCAGGTCCCCCCCAGTTATCATTCATGGTATCCCGTGGTATCCGGCCAGGAGCGACCAGTGGATTAATTGATAAACTCGTGTCCAAGAACATCTCCATTGAGGCTGGTGATGGGGGAAAATCACTGGGATGTCCGAAAAAGAGGGGAAGTTCTTACAGGGACTATAGCAAAAAATGACGATTCTAAAATTGTTCATTTTTGGCTGGGAAGATATGGTGTGTCACAAAGTCTGGTGTGTCCAATAGGGATTTAACTCATGGCAATGGATATGAATGGGGATAGAATGGGATATGCAACCGACAATATGATTCATTCGGGTGTGTTCCAAAAAGTATCCCGGATACTCCAAAGAAATGAAATTTCACTTTCAATAGAAAACATGCTGATTATTCATGAAATATTGGCCCTCCCCAATTTTCGGTCAAAACCATATCTCCCAAATATCCACAGCAAGGGGTGTATTTTGAGTGGTGGAAACCGATTGGTCTTTGTTTGGACCTTATTTGAGGCTTTTGAAAGCTTTTGAGGCATCATTGTTTCAATCCCCAAAGGTGTAAGAGTCCATTCCCCATACCGTGATTGGGTAAACCATGGTAAACCTATATGGAGCTCATTTCTTCACCGCATTTGGATGTCATTTCAGGTGCATCAGCCGGAGAAGCCGAACCCTCTGCTGGGTGTGCTGGGGGATGTGGCCTTCCCCTTGCTGGTCATTGCAGGGCTGCTGTTCCTGCGTTCCAGGGCCCCAGGGGGGGGTGGCATCCCAGGAGAGGGTGGGGAAACCGAGGGCGTGGTGGTCCAGAACTTGACAGGCCAAAGCTGTGTGGAGCAGTTTGAAAATATATTTCATGTTTGGGAACCATACTTTGACTAATATCCAATTTGTTGCCAGAGCCAATTTGTTTCTTAGATCTTTGGTCTTGGGTTGTCTCTATCCTTTTTCGAAGCTGCTGTGGACATGCGAAATGCTCAAGAGACTCAGTTGGACATAAAGAAATAGAGCATGAAAACGGCAGATAGTCGCAGTCTCAAACACGTTGCATTTGAAATATAAGTTGGGATGATGGATCCAAATGACGAGCATTGTTTCAACTGAGTTACAACCACCAATTAAGCCATTTTGCGCCTAAGAAACGAATACTTGGGTCCGAAATTGAATGCCCTTTCAAGATCTGTGAAAGGAGCCAGTGGGACCACGTTTTTGTCAGAGAATCCTAGCCTTCAGGCCAGCCCTGGAACACTGGCAGATAGCATGGAAACCATTTGCCCAATTGTGACATAAGAGGTACTCCTGCAATCATGAGCGCGGGAGGGGCCATGGCGGCCGTGGGCCATCAAAATGACTTTTTGCTCCTGATGACTTTGGCGCGGTGTCTCAATGCATCTGGCTTGGGTCTCTTGTTCAGTGCGTCCACGGATCTCTTGTACCAACTGACGCACCCAAAGGACACCAAAACGGCTGAGAACTCTGATGGCAGTCAGGAGGTGGAGGTTCATCATAAAGTACAGAAAACCTTGACCAACATTGCAGCTTGGCATTTTTGGGATCATTTTGGCCCCTGAATTGACAGGTGCATTTACTGTACATGGCATTATAGTCTGGCTATGTCTGGCTCACCCTTTTCTCCCGCACCATGCGCAAGGCAACGTTGTCAACGCTGCTGGACTTTTTCCTTGCGCCCATGATTGGCTCCTTCATGGATTCTGTGGGTCGTTTGCCTACCATGATGTTAGCCATGGGATGCTCCAGCTTGGTGCGTTTCTGCTTGGCAGTTTCTCCATCTCTGAAGCTCTACATGTGCCATGACGCAATGCCATAGCCTGCCACGACGTTCAATGAGATGTTGGGATGTTGATATGCTTAACATATGCCCAATACCCGCTGATGCTACATTATATGTATATACAGCATATATGCAGCAGAATATGCAATAATTCATAAGAACATATATAGGTATAACATGGTATAACTTATATACATGCAATTAATCACTATACTGCACATCAACATTCCCATTCCACCAGCACCTGCTCCCATTTATCCCCTAGGTTCTACCGTGCCCTGGTGTCCATCACCGGCAACGCTTGGCTCAGCGCCTCCTCTGCCGCCCTGGGCGATGTCTTCGGCCGCGGCACAGCGCGCTTCGCAGAGGCCTCGTCGCGGGTGCAGCGCTTCGCACTGCTGGCGATGATGCTGGGAACCTTCGCAGGACACTGAAAAAAAGGTGGATACCCTCTGGTAATTTAACATAGCTATTGAAAATCACCATTTTTAATGGGAAAATCCACTATAAATGGCAATTTTCAATAGCTATGTTAAATTACCAGAGGGTAATGTGGAAAACCCTGGCTGCCATAAACCTACATAAACCATCATAAAGCTACCATTTGGGGATGGTTGGGGAAGGTCTGATTATTGGGTTTACCACATTCATATTACAACATTAACTGGGATTGATAACTAAGTGGATACACAACTATCACACGTCACACATGGAAATATATATTATATAACAACAGATGTCCCTTTTGTTTGCCATGGGATGATCAGGGGTACCCAAGTGCAACAGACCATGACCCAAAGGATGGTGAAAGGATATTGAATTGAAGGAATCTTCCATTTAAATCCATTTCTTTCGGATTAGTAGAGGATTTCTACCCCGAGAAACATCGCTCGAAACGTTGGTGTATTGTGAATATATTGTAACGCCGCATGTTTGGATGGTTTTTTCAGAGGACACGTCTTAATGCAAAAGCTGCAGGAAGATGGGTGAAAGAGCCCCAGAAAGCCTTCGCCCTAGTGGGAAGCTTGGAAAGCACCTGCAGTCGGGTACCGAACTATTTTTTGGGTGAGCTGGTGATTTCTTGAAGTTTGGGACGCTTCGGGATTCCCCAGGATGCGAGGGCTTCCTGCGATTAGTGTTTGTTTTGTACCTCGGATCAGCTGTGAGGAACGTTGCAAGTGATGGCGGCCGGAGCTGTTGGATGCATGAAGGAATCCCTGATGTCTCAGAGCAAATTTCAACGGGTCTGGTTCTGGTCCGTTTTCCGCCGCAGCAAAGCCCTGTTCGCTCTGGCGGTTTTGAGTACTGCTATGGAGCTTCCAGACCATGTTGCCACCTTGGACCAGGTTTTTCGACGTCAGAAATTTCCCAAACTTTGGACAGCTTCAATGGAATCGACCCATATGCTCCTGTTGCAGATTGCAGGTGTGTTCCATACCTTTCTGCGCGCACGCATTTTGAAGCATCTGGATTCCGCCTCTGCCTGCCGATTGGACAACTGGTGCAACGCGCTCTGTTTCTTAAACAACGCCTTTTCAACGCGACCCAGCTTGCTGGCTTTGAACCCACTTCTCAGTTGCTTCCAATGCGGAGGTTTATCTTTAGAACTGTGCCTGCAACGTCAGGCAGAATCGGTGGGATTGGGATCAGGTGCTCTCAGTGCAGCTGATGCCAATCGCAGCTTCCTACCATCTTTGTTGATGCCCCGCTTCTACAGCTGGTTGTATCATTGGAGCCCCTGGCCCTCGGCACCATATCTGGTGGCCAGTGGGATGTCACTGCTGGCAGCAGAAGTGGTGGGTCCTTGGACTTTCGCTCGGCTGTAGCCCAGTAGCCCAAAAAGGATGCTGCATCTGGGAAATTAAATGAAATTAACCCCAAATTTGATGGGATAGGGGATGCCGCTTCCGACAAGAAGAGGCCTTGAAAAAAGCTCGTGGAATTTTCGGCGCCAGGATTCGGCAACCAGGGCCGTGCCAAGATCATGATCACGCCAGAGACCGGTGTGAAGTTTGAGAACGTGGCAGGCATCGACGAGGCTCCGTTGCGGGATTTTTCGCATGCGGCCATCATTTGGAGCGGATCAACCTCGACTCAAGCAGAAAATCGGTTTGCTGAAAATGGTGGACCCCTTCAAAAATTTCAAAATCATCCAAGAAATTGGCGTCCCAGCTATAAACCTCCATTTTGAATCATTTTGATCCATTTTATGGGATTTGCCATTGGTTGGCTGTTTTAACAAATCCCCCAACCCCCATTCTTACCAGGTTCTTCAAAAAAAACAGCCATCCCATGAAGTACCACACCACAGATGTCATGTCCCCCCCATCCCCCAATTCAATGTTGTCTTCTGATTTTTGTGTTTGGCGGCCATCAACAAAAACAGCCATTTTTGTTGATGATGCTCGGCACTTCCGATCACAACATTTTTCAGTTGGGGGTTGCAGGGGTAAGCAAGGTATCTATGTGGTTTCCTGTGGGTGGCTGTTTCAGGGGATGAGAACACATATTCAGGGGACCATGCAAAACAGGAGCTGTTTTTCATGTGGAGAATGATGGGGAATGGGATTATCTGGAAAACATATATCATATCCATTCCAACTATTCTTAGTTGGTTAATGTTGGTGTGATATCCCCATCATACGGTGGATGCTAGAAATCCGGCACCAGTTGATAGGTGGTTTATCCCATTATAATCCCACTATTTTCAGTGTTCTATAGTAAGTTGGGAACTGGTGCAGGATTTCTTCCATCCCCATTATATAATTACATATATATATATATATATCCACAATTTATATAAATTATATATATAATTATATATATAATTATACATATATATATATATATTATTACAGTATATATATATATACATAAATATATCCATGCTAACTATATATTGTTAGTTGATCAATTTTTGGTTCCAACTATTCTTCGTTGATGAGTTTTTGGTGATATTACCATCATGTCATATTATAGATCCATTTATATCTGAAGGCCAAGGAGGAGTTGATGGAGATCGTGGACTTTCTGAAGGCCGCTTCATGGGGCAGTTGAAAGATGGGAAGGGTTGGGGGATAACCATGGTGAAGTCAGGCAAGAAAATGGATGAACATGGGTTCTTGTATCTTTGAAACTGTTCTTTCTTAGCCCTAAATCCTGAATGAACGATAAAATGAACCACAAGTGAGCAACACTTCCAAGTAATACCATACGAGTACATCTTAAAGTGATTGAATTGCATGTAGATATGTAATTATATGTATCTATACAATTCTATACACATACATACACAAATATACATATATGCATATACAATCATATACATGTTAAACATATTTTTCAGCCCAGAACTGTGCCCAGAACCTGTCATCCCCAGTTGTCAGGCGCCTGAGCGTTTCGTGAAGGTGGGTGCCAAGATCCCTCGGGGCGTGCTGCTGACTGGACCTCCGGGTACTGGTAAGACGCTGATGGCCAAAGCGCAGCTTGGATGGCTGGATGGCTGGATGGCGTGGCTGATATATGGTAGATCTATGTATATATGGCTATATATGGTAGCTTATATATGGTAAATTTATACATATATATATATAGAGATCTATGTAAATTTCCAGATCTTTGAAAACATAATTAAATTAGCTGCTGATTGCTGGAAGAACTCAATGGCAAGAAGAGAGGGTTAGTTTATTCACCCCCATCCATATATCAATGATCCCATCATTTTCCAATACCTCCCACATCCTCTCACTATCTCATTAGCATTGTTGGTTGCTATCCCATGGACTGTTCCGGTACATCAGTACATCCCATTGATATCCCATATCATCATTGCATTATATTGCATTATTATTGGTTAAGATTATCCCACATGATGTCCTAATACATCCCATTTGGGTGAATGATACCGACCTGCGATGTCACTGGAATATGGTTGTATCTATTTCAATACGGACATATTTTAAATTGGTGAATTATTGTAATTCATGCAAGCTGCCATTAATACACATAATTAGATATGCAACATCCCCTAGGTTGGACTATCTATAACACATACACATATATATATATATACATAATGTATATGCATATGATATCAATGATATCCCATATAGTTTGTGAATTCTGATATAATATCTATATAATAAATATACCTTTAGGATCTCCCATTTTTTTTGGGCCCATTGCAGCCATCCAGGTTGGCTGGCGAGTCTGGTGTGCCATTCATTCAGTCTCAAGCTCAGGTCACCATGAAAATCATGGTTTCAGATGGTTAACTAGTATGTTTGAGTGTTTCTCGAGTATCAAATTATGGTTTTCCATGGTTTTCCACATTTTCCTGTGATCTTCATTGACTTTTTTTTTTAATTCGGAGGCTGGGAAGAAATCTCCAGGACACTTCCTGTGAATTTTTTTCAGGTCCAGCGCCTCGGAGTTCATCGAACTCTTCGTGGGCGTGGGTGCCTCGCGAGTGCGCGATATTTTCAAGCAGGCGAAGGAGAAGGCCCAGGGCGCATGGATGGGACAACATCTGGAAATTTCTGTAACATTTCTGTATTTTTTTTTTTAATGTCTTTTTTCAATGCGAAGATCCAGGAAACGATGGAGGTTCCATGAAATTCTGAACAGGTTCAAATCGAAAAACAATAATCGGAAAGAATTCCCACCATTCTTGACATATGGAATGATGGGGATTGTCCCTTTTCTGGTCTAAAAGTGGGGTTTTCGTATCTGGGTCCATCCTGGGGGTCATGCATTCTGAGGCCACCCCTCAACATGGTGGGAACATCATGGAACTGGCCATGGGCCATGGCTTCCATAAGAAACTGTTAGAGGGTAAATCAGTAAATCCCATTAAATTCAGGGTTACATCCATCATTAAAACCCATCATATTACCTGTTTCCCTCATAAAGCTAGTGATTTCGTATTGCAAACTGTTTGAACATCTTATATATATATATATATATACATACATTAAAGCTAGTACTACTTACCAGAGGGTATCCACATGATTTTCTTGGTAAAGCCTCTGAACCATCCGCATCGAAGGTGAACGAGCCATTGTGGGGATGATCCCTGAAGTCGGTGGTCTTCCTTAAACAGCGAAACTCCTTGCATTCGTATTTAAAAAATACATATGCATATATAAATATTGTATATGTATATATGTATTGTATTATATTATATTATATTACATTATATTATATCATACTATATCATATCATATCATATCATATTATATATATTATATTAGATATACTATATTAGATATATTTTATTAGATATATTATATTATATTATATTTATATTATATTATATTATATCATGTCTTATTATATTATATTATTATATTATTATATTATATTATATTATATTATATTATATATATAATATAATATATTAAATTATATATACTATATTATATATTATATATATATATTATATATTATATTATCTATTATATTATCTATTATATTATATATTATATTATATATTATATTTTATATATGTTATATTGTATATTTTATATATTATATTATATATATATATCATATTATATATATATTAGATTATATATTTTATATCATGTATGTATATATATATATATATTATATCCTATATTACATATATTATATATATATATGTACATTACATATTATTTATCACATATTATATATTACATATAGTATATTACATATTATCATACATTTATATATTACAATATATATATATATACATATTTAAATACACATATTGTATGTATATTATAGAAATATGTAACACAACATAATATATATATATATATATTGTTTTATACTATCTACCATTGGATAGGACATGATAGGACGCTCCATGTTTGGATGAACCCCCCCCCAAAAAAAAATGTGATGTAACCCCGCTGCAGGCGCCTTGCATCGTCTTCATTGATGAGATCGATGCCATCGGACGTCAGCGAGGCGCTTGTTTTTTTTAAACGATTTAAATATATTATAATATATCTATTAAATCTATTACCCTCTGGTAAATTAACATAGACCCTAAACATAGTCATTTTTAATTAGTTGAAACTAATCTTCCAACCCCTATATCTGCCAGGGTCTATGCTAATTTACTGGAGGGTATTTATTGAATGGTATGATGATCACATTTTAGCCATTGTGAATTGATAATCATATCAATGCACTCATAGATCACTAGCCAAATTTTGATTCTTAAATATTGGATATTCTATGGCTATCCATGAGCCATGTCATTGAAATCCATTTAAGACTAGTGGTCAACGAATGATCTAAGCAGCAACGCTGGGCTTGGATGAAGCTGGCAGACCTCTGAATCTTAAGGCATGCCCAAAGTTGCGCCATTGGCCAAAATTGTGACGGACCCCCAAACATGTTCATTTATTTGTCTGGAAGATAATTTGCCTCTGGCATTTTGGTTCGGTTCCATGTTTTTATATGTTTTCCATTTCGGGCATGGAAAGTAGTGGATGCTGCAGGTGCTGGCATGGGAGGTGGCAACGATGAGCGCGAACAGACCTTGAATCAGATCTTGACTGACTCCTGGCAGGGCAAGGGCTTTAGGATGGGCGTGGGGCTTGGCATCACAAGATACGTCGTGGCTCGTGGCCCAAGTATACCAAAAACTTGTTCTATATTTGGTTTGAAATAAAGATGCCAAAATATAGATTGACATAGATCATTCGATCATGAATCAGATATAATCAGACAATAGGTTGACATAAATATATAGATGTTTTATCCCAATAGGATCAACATAATCAGCGAATCGTCTTGAGCGAAGGGTCTTCTGGCCGTCCTTTTCCAGCCAAGGAAATGGATGGTTT